CAGCTGCCTCAAACGTTATAGTTTAAATTATGCTATGTTAATGTTTTCCTTTAGCAGCAGTAGGTGTATTGATATTTAACACAGAAGAAGTAATACATTTAACTCTTTAAAACTCCTAAACTATATAATGTAGTTATCCAAAGAAAGCATCAGCATAGGAGGAACATTGTCTCACTCATTCTCTGATAAAGTGATGCAAGGAAGATAGGGGTAGAACAAAGCCTTCTAATTTTGGTTAATCTGTTACTTTAAATGCATGCAAAGCTATAGTTGATGACTCTGGTTTTACTCAACCATGCAGTGAATGCATTCATTGTTTTAATGATCCTATCATTGTTGCAATATTGATATTAGCATGGAATCATTGTAACTCAAAATTATGTTCTCCTGTTCTCTTATAGGATTGGATTGTGCAGTTCGATCCTCCAGATGAACCCAAGGTGCATACCAACTTCTTTTTTTTTTTTTGAGATTTCGATTTTTTCTCGCCATTGTAATGTTTAGGGGATTACTGTTTTCAGGAATATATTCATAGGGTTGGTCGAACAGCACGTGGAGAAGGTGCTAGGGGAAATGCTTTGCTTGTCCTGATTCCAGAAGAAATGGGATTTGTTAAGTATCTAAAGGTGTGGCATTTTGTCTATTAGGGCTCTTATTTTCTTCTTCTTCTTCTTCTTTTATTTTATTTATTTGTTTATTTTGTAAAATGGGGGTGCTGTTAGTAGTAATAATTTGTGGTCAGTCAACAGTCAGAAAAGTGTCTATTCTAATTTTTGTTCTCGTTGTAACCCTTTTATCTGGTTCTCAACTTACAGGACGCAAAAGTTCCTGTTAAGGAGTACGAATTTAATGAGAAGAAGCTAGCAAATGTGCAGTCTCACCTGGTAAACTCTCTTGCTTCTTCTATTTCGCCAAAATTTGTCAAAATAACCAATTGCATGGGAGCTAAGAATGCAACTTGGAATGATACAGGAGAAGTTGGTTGCCAACAACTACTATCTGAATAAGTCAGCTAAAGATGCATATCGCTCCTATATTTTAGCTTATAATTCACATTCCATGAAAGACATCTTCAATGTGCACCGCCTGGATCTACAGGTACCATCTTTCTTCTGACACCTTGAAATGCAGTCTTCATTTTCCCCGACCTTGTTCTGTAATTTTTGATAATCTTATGATGAACTGGATTTTATTTAAGAGATGGAAAATTGCTATTGCTCTTGAGCAGGCAGTTGCTGCTTCCTTCTGCTTTTCTAGTCCACCAAAGGTGAACCTGAACATTGACAGCAATGCATCCAAGCACAGAAAGAAAAGGCAAAAAGTGGAAGGAACCCGAAACGGTTTCAGTGAAAGCAACCCTTATGGGAGGCAGAAGGGTGAAGATGATAACCGGCAATTTGTAAGGTATTAGTGGCAGGCAGCAGCAGTAGCCGCAGCGTTGGTGAAGTCAATCAACATGTATGCCTAGAATTTTTTTTCTTCTTCCAATTTTGTTTTCCTAAACTGACAGCTGTACTACAAAGTTATCATATAGAGACTAATGTAAGTGCCAAAAAATTTTGTAACTTATATACATGGTGTTAATTACTGAAGATTTTTGCGATTGTTAATTATTAAAGTTGATGTTAATAAACCATTATTTCTCTGAATCTTTGTATCTCATTCACCTGTCATTCAATGTGAATATCAATTTTTGCACAAATATATAGAACAATATCATTAAGAAAAAAAAAAGTAAATAAATTAATGGTGAACATAAATCTTCTCTCTCTCTCTCTCTCTTCTTTTTTTAAAAATATTTTTATTCTTCTACAATTCTCATGAAGCAAATAATCTATCAACTCCATTTGGTGTGAATTGTGAAAATTGAAGTATTTGATGGGGACAGGATAGGTTTTCCATTGGCCGGTCTTGTCCTTCTTATCCTTTCCTGAACGTATTGAACTTTGATTTCGAATCACCTCACTAGATGCGTACGTTGTAAAAAAAAAAAATTCATGGTTTTAAAATGCTTAAGTACCTACCTTATTCAAGCTGCTTATCCGTGGTGACAAAAAATCCACCATTAAAAGCTTCAATTTTAGTGCCTACTTTAATCCAATTTCAATATCTAAAGCTGA